GAGGGTCTTCGTTTTCAGTGATGTTAGCGGCGGCGGTTGTCGGGTTGGTGCGACCGTGATCCTTCTGTGGTGGTGTGGTGGAGAAAGTCTTCGCTTTTTGTTTCTTCATCATTACTTATGCGGCGTATGGATCGCGTGGATTGCTGAAGTTGACAACGGTAGAGTTGTTCCAGGACCTTGGCCACTGGTTGAGGATCTTCCCGACTAAAATCAAGGTGATCATAGCATTACTATGACGTATGTCATTGGTCGAGGCGCAATTAATCAGATCATATTCAGTGGATTTGGTTTCGGCTGTTGCGGAAGCCGACGTAGTCAATAATCGCATTGGGGTTCGTTGTCTGCTATTTGTTGTCTACAGTCAGACAGCATTTTTGACGAAAAGGGAATGTATCTAACTACAAATGCGTTCATGGTAAGCCCTGCAGCTAACAAACCTGCCTATCGATTGTTTGATTGTAGGGTTCGTGAGTAGCATAGAAGGCGTATCTGCGGCAGTAAGGAGACCAAGTACGAAGAATATGCCTTCAGCATCGGTGCACCACATCTGGAAACGGAAACTCTGCCCACTACTCCAGTACTTTAACTAAAATGTAATGTTAATTTTCCAAAAAACTTGAGAAACTTTTCCACTTCGTCTGTCAGTTCTCCCTTGGAACCCCGTTCTTAGTTGCAGCACTGCCCTCAGTGCTGTGGAAGTTGGTGTTAGCAGGGGACAGGTGTGTGCTCCTCTAATTCCCGCCGCTGCCACCAATATAGTGCCCAGAGTAATGGGGCTTTCGGAGCCTGGGGCAGAGTATATTCCGATGTGACGGGTGGCTTAAGTCTTTGTGGAGAAGTAGCAATCGAGATTTCTTCTAAAGGTCAATCAGTCTCATCACGCCCTGCAGAAAGGAGTTTCGAGGAATCGGACATAGTGAAAGTATAAGTGGACCTAATGGTCGTAAGTTTACTCTCGATAACAGATGGAAAATGCAAGCCTTTGCGACACGATGAATTTATTAAATCCCGGAAACTGTGCAATAATAATATGAAATCGGTACATGGGCTATGAAAAAGATAACTTTCTATGAGAATTCATTCAAATGGAATAAACTGAAGATAAATGCGATATAACATGAAGATTGTAATAAAACGACAACAGACAACAATAAAACGGTACGAGAATGTCAGCGTCAGTAGAATGGACGCACGAAGCAGTGATTTGAGAGTGCGAATTCTAAAAAGAGAATGAGAGAGTAGAACCTCAGTTGAAACAACCAAGGGTGAGTTGGTCGGAGCTCTGTTCACTACAGTGCGAAGATTCCTCTTCCCCGATGGCGGGTCCCAACTCCACCATCCCTGAACAACCGTGAGGTCTGGCGACCATAGTTGGTTGGACTTTTTCTGTGTTCAGGTGTGAAAACTGAGGTTACTGTTCATTATAATAAACATTTATCATTTGAACGACTTACCTCATGGTACGCCTGGACTCTCCTTTGTGACGATAGCCGCTGAAAAGAACGTTGAGGTTTATCTTCCTATGGGCGAAGACGAGTCGAATAGAGATAGCGCTAGTCAGGAATTAAGTAGGAGTATGTGAAATATTAATTGAACTACCTTAAAGCCACGTGCCCTCGGATGCTACAGTCGTGTCAGCCAACGCGACGTCCGCACACCCTGTTTGTCCTTCATGCAGTCATATACCACCCTCTTTGAGTCCCAGTGACGGCAGCAAGGATTTTGGGTGTTGACTGCGTCGTTTGTGTTTCCATCTCGACGCTGTATCAAAGCGAAATACCCAGCTGACATTCAGATAGGATATCGAATGTCGGTCTGTAAAGTCATAAGCCTTTTTAGTTGCTTTGTGGCAAGTTGCAACTCTTATTTTAGCTGCTCTTGTCTATCAAGGCGACGATTGACCAACTACTTAATCGTCGCCTGCGAGACAAAAAAACACAACAATCTGCTGATTCGTTTGACTCGCGACGCCTACCCGTCTCTCATCGCTGTTAAGACTAAGTAGTGCTGTATCAACTCCTGTAGGGACTTGTTTCCCACGAAGTGACCTGTTCTTTACGGAGCTGGGTGAGGCCATCCAAAGCGCCTGTAAATAATAGCTGAAGAGCGTCTCGAATAACTGTAAATAATGGCTGAAGGTCTTCCCGAATAACTGTTGCTATTGGCTGAAGAGCTTCTCGAATAACTGTTAATGATAGCTGATGAGCTTCACGTATTGCAGTGTTTCTGAGGTCAGAAGTTATGTCGAAAGACAGTCAGCTAACTCGAATAACTGTAAATAATGGCTGAAGAGCTTTCGTATTGTAGTGTTTCCGAAGTCAGAAGTCATGTCGAGAGACAGTCAGATAACTCGAACAACTGTCAATAATGCAGTGTTTCTTAATGCAGTGCTGCGTTTCGTCACCGGAATAGACCCACCCGAGGTCAGAAGTTATGTCAAATGACAGTCACTCAGTCGGATATTCTTTATATGTCAAGAGACAGTCAGGATAACTCGGTGTGTCTATTCAGGTGACGAAACACAGTGCTGCATTAAGAAACACTGCATTATTGACAGTTGTTCGAGTTATCTGACCGTCTCTTGACATAACTTCTGACCTCGGGAACACTGCAGTACGAAAAGGCAACCAAATATTAACAATTATTGAAGAAGCTCTTCAGCCAGTATTAAT